CAGGCTGGCCTCGAACTCGCAGAGATCCTCCTGCCTCAGCCTCCCGAGTGCTGTCCGGCTCCTAGGTCGGTTTTTTCAGGAAGCCAGGGGCTGCTCCGCATTCACCGCCCGGCCCTTCTCATCGGTCCTTCTGACCCGGCCTGGGAGCGCGGCGCGGGGAGCCGATCGGAAGTCGGGACGCGGGGCAGCCGGCCGCCGCCCCGGGGAGCCGCCTCCATCAGGTCGCGGTACTGCCCGCCCACCGCCTGGTGCTCCAGGTCGGCCAGACCCGGCAACCTGGCTTGCGGATTTCCTCCGTCCCTTGCGTTCTGAAAAAGCGCCTGGGGATCCTGCACACCCAGTCGCTTCTCTGCGGCCTCGGCTACCAAAACGCGCCTGTCTGTCACCGGCGGTCACTTCCGGCCTCCAGCCCCGCCCCCGCCGCCATGTTGGATGAGGGCAGAAGCACTTCCGCCCTGGCGTAGTTATTTCCGCGCTTCCTGGGCGGCGCGGACAGACTCCGAAAGCTATGGGCGCGGGTGCTTGGGCAGTTTTCCGAGGCGGGGTAGGTCGCGAGGGCGATCGCGTCCTAGCTGGCCAACACCTGCAACTCTTCCTGGCGCATCTGGATTTTTTCCTTGTCAGAGAAGGGCTTTGCTGTAGGGTCAGTTACCGTAACCAGGCGCCCGCGGTCTGATCGTCGCTGCTCCGGGCGCTTGCATTACGGTCTAGGCAATCGCGATGCCAGGACAGGCGCTGTCCTCTGGCGATCGCGCGGTTTCGCTGTCCGTCGATCCTTTCTCCCCTACCTCGCTCCAGTTTCCCGCTGCGCGGGCTGGAGCCCGGCTGGACACCAGCTGAACACGCTGAGTTGCTTCCCTCCGGCCAAAGCCGTGAGCCTTTCCTCCTTAGAAAGAACTTTGCAGGGGGGTTGATGGTTGTAAGCAGACACCCGCGGTCTGGTTGTCGTTCCGCGCCTGCGGGCCATACCCAGGGGTGGCAGTGGTGTGTGCGTGTAGTCCCAGCCGCTCTGGCGGCTGAGGCAGGAGTCTGAAGCCAGCCTGGTCGAGACTGTACCCCAAAAAGAAAGGATGGGGGGCGGGGGGAAATTATCTTTTTTTTTTTTGCTTTTTCTTGGAGACAGGCTCTTGCTTTGTAGGTCAGACTGGCCTTGAACTATGTAGCCCAGACTGGCCTCGAACGCCAAGTGATCTTCCTGCCTCGGCCTCCCGAGTACTGGGATTACAGGCGTGCGCCACCATACCCGGTTAGGCAGGACTTTATATTGGCTTGTGGGCTGCCTATTTGAGCATTTTCTGTCCCTTGGAAACCTTGCAGACTTTGGGTAAGCCGCCATCCATCCTGGCAAGGGAGAAAAGTAGGGTCAGCACCAAATCTCAGGCGAGCCGTCCCTGCTCACCAGCAGCCATTGTATAGTGGCTGCACCCTGTGGAGGAGCCTGGTCTAACCTGACACCTGCTCGGGCCCTGGGTGGCGAGTCCTGTGCAGCAAGGGCCTGCGAGGGCTTCCTCTTTGGGGTCACCTCTGTTCCCTCCCGCGTGTTCTCCTGCTCCCCCTGACATGCCCAGCCCCAGCTGCTGCGGGAACAGGACTGTGTCCCTGCCAGGGAGACTTGGTGAGGGAGATGCAGTGGGACCGGCTTAGCGGGCAGAGCCCCCAGGGGGAGAATGGCCAGGCACAGGGGCAGCAGGACCAACTTCTGCAGGAAAGGAGAACACCTGCGGTCGCTGAGGGGAATATTCTGAGAGCAGGAAGGGTCTCAGCCCACTCGAGGGCTGCAGCCGAGCCTCGGGAAGAGAAGGCAGCCCGGGTTACAAACTATCAGAAGCTGTGACAGGCAGCTTCTGCTTCTGCGGGTGCTGTCAGGGCCCGGCAGTGCCCTAGACCAGCGGTGCCCCATGTTTATCAGCGAACGTCCCACCCAACCCTCGGGGCCGTATAGGCTCAATTCTAAGCCAAGACTTTGGGACGGAGGATCTGATTGGGTCTGCTTGGATCACATGTTCCCCTTGGTCCAATCAGCTGTGGGCATGAGAGGCGTTAAGCACAGTCAACTGGGCTGCCTCAGGGGAACTCT